TGCATTTAAGAAATCGGGGCAAACTCATAGCTCGAATCTACATTCTTGGTGGATGACATACACGCAAATACTAGATGAGGTCTAGTGGGGATGAAGACTTTTATTCACTACTGTATATATAATAATCACTACAACTCATTGTCGATAAATATTGATTACTATGAGTGCATGTTGACCATACTTTTTGTCTAGTTTTTATGCTGTCTTGTATAAAATATCACCAGTCAGTTTTTGGTATTTATTTCTTAACAATATATGCTTAACATTTATCTTTATATAACAGTCTCATCAACCAGATTTAGTACAATGCATTGACACTAATGACATTTCAATTGTTGTCTTTATATTTTCTAAATATGCAACCAAAAAAAAAAGAACGATAAGATTAAGAAAAATATCTAATTGCATCATTAGAATTTATAACTAAAATAAAATAAAGAATTGTATGCTTGGTTGATTTTTTTTCTTCGATGAATAATTCACTCTTCTTAAATGAATAAAATGATAATCAACGTCTATGCATTGTTTGCTTATATATATATATATAGAAAGTTTAAGAGAAACGAAATCATCAGTCAGAATCAAACTAACTGAATAAAATATTAATATAGTAAAAATGAATTATAAAAATTAGAACTCTTCAGAAAGAAAATTGGTCATTCTATTCAACAATATAGAAGAAGAAAAATTAATTCCCTCTACTGAAAGGAGGGTCATACACCGAGCAATTTCCGTATGTTCGTAACTTCGTTCGTACGTTCGTTCGTTCGCACAGAACGAAAAAAAGTTTTTTTGACCTCTCATATCACTCATTTTACAACAAAAGCTCAATAAGGTTATTTTTGGTCGGCATTTCGACCAATAGGGTTTTTTGACATTGCAGTTTCAACCAATAGGATTTCAGGGAGGGGAGCAAATCAGCCAATCAGATTTCTTTAGCCTGTAATTTAGCCCAATAAGGTTATTTTTGGCCGAAATTTCGACCAAAAAGGATTTTTGACATTGCGGTTCCAACCAATGAGATTTCAAAGAGAGGGGGGGGGGAGCAAATCAGCCAATCAGATTTCTTTACCCTGTAATTTGGCCCAATAAGGTTATTTTTGGTCGGGATTTCGACGAATAAGATTTGTTGACATTGCGATTTCAACCAATGAGATTTCAGAGAGGGGGCACATCAGCCAATCAGATTTCTTTGGTCCACACTTTGGCCCAATAAAGTTACTTTTGGTCGGAATTTCGACCAATAAGGTTTTTTGACATTGCGGTTTCAACCAATGGGATTTCAGGCAGGGAGGCAAATCAGCCAATCAGATTTCTTTAGCCTATAATTTGGCCCAGTAAGGTTATTTTTGGTCGAGATTTCGTCCAATAAGGTTTCTTGACATGACGGTTTCAACCAATGGAATTTGGGGGGAGGGCACATCAGCCAATCAGATTTCTTTGGCCCACACTTTGGCCCAATAAGGTTACTTTTCGTTGGAATTTCGACCAATAGGGTTTTTTGACATTGTGGTTTCAACCAATGGGATTTTAGAGGGGGGGACAAATCAGCCAATCAGATTTCTTTTTTATTTGTTATCAGGTACTATGGTTTACGTTTGTTCCCTTTCTCTGAAAGAAAGGGTTATACGGCGGTAAATATCCTTAAAGTTTGTCTGTCCGTCTCTCCGCCTGTCTGTCCTAACCAATCAGAAAATAGAGATGCGTATGTCAACTAGACTAGTGTTTCACAAATCGTAAAAATCTTTAACATGGGTTTTTGGGGTCAGGAATCGAATGGTGACATTAGTTTTTGAAAATTTTTTCAAATAGATGTTTTTTACGAAAAAGAGAGGTTTTCTAGCAAAAAAAATGTTTTTGTTATAAAGTTTGATCAAACGTTTCCGAGGTCGAGGAATCGATTGGTAGTATTAGTTTTGAAAATTGTTTGAAATCATTTTTTTGGTAAAAGAAGACGTTTTTTTTATAAAGTTTGAACAAACGTCTTCGAGGTCGACGAATCTGAATCCGTGATTAGTTTTTGAGACAGACCTTTCTAGACAAGGAAAAAGTTTTTTACGAAAAAAACTGTTTGCTATAAGGTTTGACCAAAGACGTCAGAGATTGAGAAATCTGAGTCCGTCATGAGTTTTCGTAAAAGTTTTTGAAATGAGTTTTTGGCTGCGGAAGGTTTTTTTAAGAAAATAATGATTTTTTTCTTAGATTGAAGGAGAGAGATGATATAACATACAATAAATTTGCAGTTCTACATGTATGGCTGATTCTAAAGTCTGTCTGTATATTTGTGCACCCTAGCCAATGCGAAAACGGTGTCGGCTAGATTGATATCAAAAGCTTCTGATAGTCTATAAAAAACTCTACGAAAATTAATCGAAGGAAAATATAGCGAATCTGAATCAAATGTGATTTTAATAACAAGTTAATAAACAACTAGGAATTAGTTTTATACTTTTCTTAATAAGTTTAATCCAAGATCGATAAGTCAAAACTCAGTTGTTTTTATCAAATAAGTAATAGTCAGTAATATTAACTGTCTCCAGTAAAACTCTACTGAAGAGAATCGGCTATGAGGAATGCAAATCTGAGTTCAGCTTTCCAATATTGGCAGTTATTAATTAATGATAAATTAATGTATCATTGTTTTCTATAAAACTTGGCTGATCATTATCGAGCATGAAAAATGCGAATTCGAAGTTAATCGAAGTCTTTTTGGCCTTTTTTAAGCTTCTTTTAATGAATTCCTTGTTATTTTAAGCTTGACTTAAGGATAGTCAAGGGTCGCGAATTCATGCTCGAGATTGCTTTTAATATAAGTATTTTTTCTTGTTAATTACAAAACGCCAGGTCTTTGGGTAAGATTTATACATACATATGTAGAAAACGAAGTGGTCACTTGAAGTCCATTTATTGACTCTTCGTAGGCATCAAATGTAAAATAACATTTAAAATAGACGAAAATCTTTTCTAAGCAACAATGTAATGTACTCTATTTGTAGCAATTTATAAATAGTTCTCTTTTTTTAGTTTCTACTTGATGAGGGTATTAACATATGCTCAGTAAATTTTCGAAAGGAATTCAAACAGGATGCATCTATTCGCTTCAAACCTGAAGTAATATCGAACAATTTAATGGCGTTAACTATGGGCACGGCTAGTCGTGAGTGGCCGACCGGAGGGAGGCCGACGAACGACTAGACGCTGACTTAGAAGGTTATTTTAGAGCATAATTTTGAAATGAGTCTGAAGCGGTTTAGGGAGATTCTCAGAAGAACTTAACTAATGCTGATTTGAAAACAAATTCGGCAACATATCATTTTGTTAAAATAAAAAGAAGTTGAAAACTATGACGAAAAGTACACAACATTATTTAAATGTTGGAAATTTTTGATTATCTATCGATACGTCATGAGTAAACTATTTTTTCTGCGCATCAGGGTACTAATGTGACAAATGGTAGGAAGAAAAATAAACCATATATGCGAACGACTAGACGTTGATTTCGAAGGCTTATCGTAAGTATAATAAGTGAAAGTTGAGGCACCTTCAGAAATTGTCAAATGATCTGATACTTGAACCAAAATAATTCCTTATTAGACATTTGACGTAATATAGCCTATCCAGTAAAGGATTTGTGAATGCTAGCAGGGCGTTATTTGCTTGTTGTGTCGTAAGCAAAAATAGATGTAGTTGTGCCGTCCTAAAGGTTTCAAGAAGCTGTGCGCAATACTATAATTTTGAAAAAAACATGTTTTTTTTTCAAGTTATTCTGATTTAGGGTGGTCGCCGCTTGGTCATGCTACTGAACTCGCTGAACAAACGGAAACAACTAAACGACATCTAATTTCGTTTTCTTAAAGAAACAGTCATATAGCAATACATATCCCACTTAAAAAGCCATACATGTTTGTCTCTCCGTTTTATTCAGGAAAGTCAGAGTTCAGGATAAGAAAATATGACATCCCAAACAACTGAATATGATCATATATCTGTATTAAGCTTGATCAGACTTAATCAAGGATAAGCCACTGAAATTCGAGGTCTGCTTCTGATGACGGTACAACATTTAAATGTCTAGCAAATCATTTAAGGGTGCTTGCTCTAGAGAAATCTAGTGTTGAAAGGCGGCTAATATTTTTCAAAATATCTATTTTTTGATTCTTCAACTATATTAAGGTTCCTCTACCCAGATTATTTTCAAAATGATAGAATTCAAGAATGTTCTTTATCACAACTAATTTAAACTCTTTAAATTCGATGAGGTTGTTCAAAAAAACAAGTAACGCGACGCAAACGTCGCTAACCCTCTACTGAAAGGATGTGATTTCCTTGAACATATGGTACTCACGGAGAAGAAGATCATAAAACTAATGTGCTGCTATACATCTATAAAAAGATAAATAGTTCTCGTCACCATGGCTCGCTTGCTAATTGATTGGGTTTGATTTAACCATCGTGGGGTGTGGGTGGGTGGATGTGGGGTGTGTCTGAGTATGGATAAAGTGAAGACACACGCCCACACCCCATACCCACACCCCACACCCATACACATCCCACACTCCACACACACACACCCCACACCCACACACCCACACACATTCACACCCCACGATGGTTAAATCAAATCCAATCAATTAGCAAGCGGGTCATGGTGACGAGAACTATTTATCTTTTTATAGATGCATAGCAGCACATTAGTTCTGTAATCTTCTTCTTCGTGAGTACCATATGTTCAAGGAAATCACATCCTTTCAGTAGAGGGTTAGCGACGTTTGCGTCGCGTTACTTGTTATATAAAACAGAGATAACTATCTATATGTTAGAGACATGTTATTTTCTCAAAACAGATATTAATAATTGATCGAATTCATTAATATAATGACCAATTCAATGATAATCTTTTGATGTTTCATATTCGATTATATTCTCTGAGCGATTTCAATTTTGGCTAAAATATATTTATTATTTATTAATAATAATTAAAGATGAAAGATTGATTTCAGTTAGTTCGATGAAAACGAAACATGATGAATACGAGGATATGTACCTAAAAAAATTTTACAAAAAAATACATAATTCAATTTTATCTAATTATTCTTTACGTTGAATTTTAATCGATTGGCACTCTTTGTCCATATCTTCGGGTAATTTTGCTTTATATAATCGAATAAATGTATCCAATGGACACATTGCATTAAAACATTCTGAATATATTAATTTTCGACATAAGCAAAAAAAAAACAATTCTCCATTTAATTTTTACCTGGTAGTATCATAATATGTGTATCTCGACTATTTGTCATATTTAAATATTCAATTTGAATAGCATATAAATTATCATCTAGATAAATAATATTCATTATTGCTATTTAGAGTAAAATAAACAAACCTTGTTGATAAAGATCAAAAAATAATCCACTAGCAAATGGTGGTTGATGAACATAATTAATACCAAGATAAGCAAGAACAGCAGATATTGTCATATCATGCTAAGTAAAAAAAACAAATAATTTAATAATTATTTTTAATCTTAGAAAAAAAAACAAATACTCCAAAATAAATTTTAACTTTTCGTCCTTGTTCATTATTTAATATTAGATTTTCAATATTTTGTAAAATTTCACGTAATAATGGTCCTAGATATTGATTTTTTGTTTTCATTAAAATAAAATAGAAAAATAAAAATAAACAACATACCACCACGTAATCGATTAATTTCAGATGAACAAAGAAGATGATAAAAACATAAATCTGATATTTGACGAAGTTGTCGAAGAATCGGTGGTGTAACCCATGCAGGTGTTACATTATAAATAGCCTAGGAAATATTAATTATTTTTTTAAAAGATTTAATTTATTAATACCTCGATAAGAACTGTATCTGCAATATCCCATGCAATAAATATATCAGCTATAGATTGATTTGTATGTTTTTCAAGATATTCAAAAAGATTCTGAAATAGAAAGACAAATCTTATTAAAAAATAAAAAAACAAAATATTTCAATTCACTCGAAATTCATTATTTAAACGTTGAATTCTTGGACTTTTTCTTAATTCATCAACTAAATCTTCATATCGATTACAAGAACCAACAGTCATCAACTAAAAGTCAAATAATTTCGATTAATTTTTCTAAAAAAAGAAAAAAAAAACAAACAAACATGATCCATATGTTTTGGAATAGTATGTACAGGAATAGGTTGCCAAGGTAAAGTTTCTGGCCAAATATTTGATAAAGAAAAATTTTCTGGTAATTGAAGATTTTTTGATGATGGATAAAGTCCAACAAGATTTGAATAAGCTGACATAAGTGTTCGATCATAATCCGAGCTTCGAATTGTAATCTAAAACAAAATTTCAAAAACAAAAAAATCAAATCAAAAATCATATAAATACTTCAGATGCTATATAAGTTGAATTAATTAAAGTTGAATAACGTTCTCGAATATATTGTCCTAAAGAAATATGTTGTAATCTTCCTCGAACAGTTAATTGTCCAAGACCATTTGGCCAAAAATAAGGCTCATTAGAAGTTGTTGAATATAGATAACTAGGTGTTCGTTCACCATGACGAAGTATCTATTTTATTTATCAAAAGAAAAGCATCTTATATCAATAATTGCCTATTTACTATATTAGTCCCAAGAAGTTTTCGGGCATCATTGTATCCATTGAATAAAAATAATATAACAATTATTAAATATAACATTTTTTGTTTTTAATGATTATGATAAAGAAACAGAATCTTAAAGGATCATCTATGTGCACTTATGAAGGATTTTTCGAAATGTCATCAAATATATAGAGACAATATTGAAAAACAAAGTGACATTTCAACAGAACTATTTCGATTAAAAGGTTTATCTTAGGTAGATTATATTTTTATTTGATTTCAAAAACAAAAAACATACTTATATTAATCATCAAGTACAAAAAAACAAAAGTAATAGATCAACTTTGAAAATATTTCTTAGACGGCAAAGATTTGTTATTTATAGAAGATATATTTTTAAAAATTACGATGATAATAAGATTTTATTCTTTTATAAAATTCTATTTTATACCAGATGTACATGCTACACAAGGAACATTACTTATTGGTGGAATTTGATTTTTTAATAAACATCCATTTTCTTTGCCTGAAGCTCCATTTCGAATAAATGTCCATGCTCGACATTTATCACCTTCCATTTGACACATAGCACAGCAACTTGAATGATTTTGAATATTTAATAAACGAACATAAGTATTACCTGGTCGATCAACACCTAATTCAAATACTCCACCTGGATATACACATCGACCACTAATTATCAATGATGTTTGTTTAAAACCACTTGTACAATATTGTTGACAATTTGAAAGTTCATTTATAGGTGGAATATTTTGTTTAAGATAACAACCAGATGCAATAGTAGTACCTGTACGAACAAATACCCATGATTGACATCGACTACCTTCAGCATTACATAGATTACAACATCCAACAACAGATAATATAGTTTGAATATGAGCATACCATGATCCAGAACGATCAATACCATCTTCAAAATTTGAACAAGTTTGAAGATAAACTATTTTAATTGGAAGAGTTACAATGAAAATAAGATAGATCCACATCTTATTGCTATTTAAGTTATAGAAGAAAATATTTTAATAAAATAAAAATTTCGAAAGAAGCAAGATTCGCTTTTTTATATATATATTGGGAACTAATAATATTTACTCGTGGATTCAATTTATCATGGATGTTTTTGTGGATATAAAAATAAAACGATATGAGAAAAAAACAGAAGGGATTGTATAGATCTAATTGTCAATATTTTTAAATGAAAGATTTATGACTGTGAGAATTGATGCTTTTATGTAGATCTATTCGGAAATATTGTTGTAAATCATTACATCAAACGTTATTCGTCGAATACTAAATAATTAAAAACAATTTTATGTTTCAAAATTGATACACCGAATTTTTATTTAATTATGAAAATTACATTTTTTGTATAGTGGGTTTCTTTTTTATAGTAATACTTTTTTCTATAGATTGAATTTTGCTTATTTGCATCACATATCGAATATCTTCTTCTTATTGATTCAAATGTTTTAAGACAATATCACAAGAGAATTTTCTACAAAAGACAATTTTGATAAGGGTGAATATTCATGTAAATTTCGTATATTCACTCAACATAAATCCAATAAAATAATTGATGTTATTGATTCATATGCAACGAGAATTGAAGAGGATGAAAAAAATACAATTTTAAAAGTCAATAAAAAGGATAAAAAAAGAAATAAATGGAAATGTATATATATATATATGAAAACACGGTCGGAAATATTTATACTTGAAAATAAAGATTTAATTATTAATGAATATTTTATTTGAAATAGATAAATGTGACAACAAAAATAAATAATTTAAAAAAAAATTTTTAGGCAGAATTTGTGTGGATTATCTGACGTATATTTTAAATATGAATTGTATTTAAATTTAGGAAAATTCCAGCTTTTCTTCTTCATCATGATTCGGGTTATATTACATGATATTTTTTTGCTATTGAATTATCCTAAGGATCTACTGAAGATTTGTTCATTGATGAATGTCATGATAGATGGGATTTTTTGATAGTTCTCATTGAATCTAATTGATTCTACTTATTAGTTTTATATAGGATTTTATCATCCAAAACATGTCGAAAAATTTTGCAGATCTGAATATAATTATATGATTTGAACGATAATCAATATGGAATAATAAAACTAGATCTTAAATTTATTGGAAATGTTATTCAATTTCGAATCAAAGAATATCATTATTTATGAGTAAATGGAACTGTTTTTATGTTATAAAAATTTTTAACTAGAAGATGATTTTGATATAAGAGCCAGCCCATATAAGCCACGACCGAACTTACTCAATCGAGATTGTCAGATTTTACTCAATTTAATACATGTTGTAGAGGGAAGTGTTTTATGAATTTTACCGCAAGCCGTTTTAAAAAATATTGACCCCTCGATTTCTTATTAGCATTTTACGAAAAGTCCTAAAAATGCTTATATCACCAAATCGGGGTCCTAATGAGGTCATATCTCCAGAATGACTAAACCAATTGAGCTGAAATTTTCTGTAGACATATATCTCAGAGAGTTCTATTTACCATAAAATGTTGGGCTCAAAATATTGAGCTGTTGGGATTTTATGAACTGTCCAATATATACAAAAAAGTACTTTTTTCGTAACTTTGGTGCTTCGTAACTTTTTACTGGAATAAGGAAGAGGTCTGAAATTTTTACTGTAAACAGAACACTGAAAGATCTAGCTCTCTTAAAAATTTCAGCCATCTTCATCGTTCCATTTGGCCAGGGCAGTCCTCTCAAAAATGGAGATTTTCAGATTTGGCTATCTCCCAAGAAATGGATTACCCTGGGAGCTGGTCTTTAGAAGTTGGAGCTATTCTCTGTGACCTACAACACTGTGAAAAAAATAGTGTGGAATCTCAAGAATTAGCTTGTACTGGAGGTCATCTTTGAGAGGTATATATGAGTTATATGAGTTTTGGGATTCGATTTTCAGCCTTATTCTCTGTTAGATGCGAATGATTTTTGATCCAGAAGATGATGGTCATATTCCTCTCTTTTTATCCGAGAGCCTCTTCATGGACGCGAAGCAAAAAGAATAATATTTAATTGGA